CGTATATGACTCAATGGACCAAAACGTCTTGGCTTACTCTTAACCTCAAAATTCACTACTCTTTCTTGCTTGTGCGCCCCATCGTCTACCCTTCCAGGATTGACCTGGGAGCTGCAACCTATTTAGTAGCAGCAGCAGTAGCAGTAGAAGCAGTAGCAGCAGCAGTAGCAGTAGCAGCAGCAGTAGCAGTAGCAGCGGTAGCGTGCGGAACACCGGGGCAATCAGCTTCGGTGAAGCAAAAGCTGCCGGTTGCATCGGCAGCGCTACTGCAGCTATGCTTAAACTACAGCTTACGATACTGCCGGAAAGCTACTCTGTACAGATCCCCGCCATGCCAGCACATTCAGCATCCCCGTACTGACGAAACAGTTTACGGAAAGAGAGAGAGAAGCAACCGCGACACAAAATGAAAACTAAATGAAGCAGTTATATAAACGATTATGCATGTGTCATCTGTACTTCTGTGTGTGTATGTGTGTGTGTGTGTGTGTGTGTATGTGTGTTGTGTATGTGCTTATTCCTGTGTGAAAATGTGTGTGAATCTGTGCGTGTTTGTCTGTGTCTGCGTGAATGTGTTTTTGTGTGTGTGTGTGTATATTTATACATGTGCGTGCGCCTGTGTGTGTGTGTGTAAGTGCGGTAGGTGCGCATGGACGTGTATGCACACCGGAGCATTACAGCGCTAACGAACCCTTGATTCTGAGTAGAGGAAAAGTCGACGCAGAGGAAATTATTAAATAGGGCTCGGGCATCTGTGCAGCTCAAGATAATTGGCCAACGCATGGACTGCCCGTGTGAAGATGCGTTTTTATGCGTTTTTGCCGTGCAGCGCTAGAGCGCTGCAAAAGGCAGCAGCTGGCCAGGACTGCCGGGCGCTCACGTACGGACACGTAGAAATTTTGGCGCGAAAATCATCAACTCGCGAACGGGAAAAGCTAGAAAGCTGAAACTTTAAGGGAATGTCCCCTACTCATATACGAGCAAAATCAGGTGTTCAGAAGCGCTCGAGCCCACTTATGAGCGTGTGGAAATTTTGGCGCGAAAATTACTAGCCTGGGAAAAGGAAAAGCTAGGAAGCTGGAATTTTCAGGGGATGTTTCCTACTCATGTACAACCAAAACCAGGTGTTTGGAAGTACCCGGCGCTCATGTACGGGCATGTGGGAATTTTGGCGCGAAAATTACTAACCCGGGAACGAAAAAAGCTGGAAAGCTGAAATTTTACGGGAATGTTCCCTACTCATGTAGAAAAAAAATCAGTTGTTTAGAGACGCCCGAGACCCAAGTACGCCACATGTGAGAGTTTTGGCGCGGAAAT